CACACACACACACACACACATACACACACAAACACTCGCACACTCACACACACGTACATAAACATACACTCGCGAACAGACACACACACACACACGCACACACATACACACACACACACACACACACGAAGTATCCCCCCAAAAAACAAACAAACAAACAAACAAAAATTTAAAGATGTATTATGGTCCGTGAAACGAAGGCAGCTGTCCTGTCTACAATTTTCTTTTTCTCACTAATCCCCTCCAGTTTTCATCGGTATCTTCACCTAAATTGATTTTACTATTAGGTAAGACTACACTGTTACTATAGATGTGCATTCATATTTTGTGATGACTTCTTAACTTTCTAATACTCCCCCCTCCCTTTTAAGAAATTTAAACTACTCTCGTCCCTCCTCCTCTACAAAGAACATATACAAACACACCACTACCACCACCACCAACAGCAACAACAACAGCAACAACAATAACAAAAACAACAACAACAACAGCAACAACAACAGCAACAACAACAACAAGTAACACCCCTCCCAAGAAAATTAGCAAACAACACCCCCTCCAAAAAACCATATAAAGCAAAAAAACAACAACAACAACAAAATCCCCCCAAAACAACAAACAAAACCAACCACCCGCACCACCCCAAGCAAATAAATAACATAACAAAAACAAACAAACAAACAAAAAACATCCCCAGACACGCAAAATGACAACGAGGTCACTTAAACTACGCACAGAAAAAAATATCCAAGAGTTCATTGCGGTTTTTGAACTCATGGCCTCTTTTTATCTGACCCCAAGAAAACGTTCAGAGCAATACAGCAGTAAAAGACTGTGTCTACCATTTTGTTATTGTAAACTACATCTTTTGTATATTAATTAAGGTATGTATATTATGCTTCCTTCTACAGAGGGTTAAAAAGTATTAACTAGAGATAAAAAATAATCACCTTGCTAATAGGATAAATAGATAGAGATCAGCCTGCTAGTCAGCAATCCGACCAAACTAGAAGACAAACAGACAAATAGACTCACAGACACACAGGCAAACAAACTGATAACAAGCAAAGGTTTGCTTATTAATAAACCAGTTATTATAGTTGTTATATGTATCCTTATTTCCTTCAATTTCTGACATTTTTTCTCTCCCCGGCCATTTGTAATTGGAAACAAGGTAACGATTTCTCGGGCGGAGGGCAATGTTCCAATGAATCTCATGTCAAAAGCCGAAAGAATACCCGCCCCCGCTTCCGCTGACTCACCTGGAGCCCTGGCAGCAGCTAAATGAATGAAAACCATAGATTTGAATTAAAATAACATCCTAGACCGGGCACTGGTCATGGCCGCCGCTCTTTTCTCCTTATAAAAACTTCTCTGCGCTGCGCTGGCGAGTACGGTATATTGGGCACGCAGATGAAGGGCAAAGCAGCTGCTCCAGTCTCGCTAGATCAAGTGAGCGCGATCCACCCCCCCTTCCCTCTCCGTCGTATCCTCCCCCCTTTCATTTGGCTACAAATTGATTCAAATTCAAATGTGCTCTCTGTAGTGAACCGGAAGTACATCAGGTAATAATCTAGCTTCTGAACAAACTGAAGGTAGATTTAAAGTTATAGTTCAATTTCAATTATGTTTGAGACACTCCTAAAAATCAAACAAAGCAAAAACAAACCAAACCAAATCAAACCGAACAAAACCAA